TTAGGTTTAGGGTTAGGTTTAGGGTTAGGTTTAGGGTTAGGTTTAGGGTTAGGTTTAGGGTTAGGTTTAGGGTTAGGGTTAGGGTTAGGGTTAGGTTTAGGGTTGGGTTTAGGGTTATGTTACAGCGCGCTTCTGTCGGCGCACTGTTGTCGGCGCACTTTTGACATCGTGGTTTTAGCGCCGCGGTTTTGTCGGCGTGCTTTTGACATTCGCGCTTTTGTCGGATCACGTTTACAACACCCTAACATAGCTATATTGTAAGAGTTAATTGTTACTAAACTTTCCAACAATTTTAAAATCATATCACACATATTAAGATGTTGTATAAATTTAATCTGTCTCCAAACTCTATTTACCTAAAAAAAAGTCCCTCTCCCTTGAATTCAATGGGTGTAGGCATGGGTTTTAAAATGAGAATTTCTCCCTTCTTTATAAAAAGTTTTACATCTTCTTAAAAGGAACTTTTCCTGAAGAATTATCGAAACAGTACTTCTGTAACTTTTTTTCCAATAGTTTTAAAGTTTCCTTTATTATCCCTTTTTAATCTTATAATGCATTTTTAAGTAGTAAGACACACTGCTGATGGCATGTGTTACATTAATAGCATTACTGGAAAGGCTTCTATGTTTTTCTTTGGGATAATTTATCCCAACTGGAAAGCTTTTCAAAAGCTGTCAGCAGTATTAGCTTGTCCCCTTCTGAGGCCCAACCAAGGGCATTGGATGCATATTGATTTGTTATTCTAAGAATGGATGGAAATGCATGAGAATAAGCAACTCAGAGATACCTTTAGCTATGCAGGCCAACTTGAAGTTTAAGATGTCATTGTCAGCTCTATTTTTTTTTCTTTTTGTAAGAGTAATAAAACTTTCCAATAGAAAGGACTGAGGAAAGAATGCAACTTTACCACAATTGTAAGGCAATCTTTCTCAGTTTTATCTATTAAGGTCCCTTCTTTCAACATATTGGATAGATTTCTTTAAAAGCTCTCTACTAATTGAAAAACATTCTTGTTGCATATGAAATTTGGAAGGTTATACTTAAATTGAAGAATAAGTTTGAGAAATTAAAGTATAATTTCTGTAATCCATTCCGCTTACATAAAAATCCTATATTTTTTCTACTCAAAAGTAGATCCCACTCATACACTATCAAAATAATTCTAACATGTTTTAAGGTTTAAGGTTTTAATGGATTTGTATGCCGCCCAATCCCGAAGGACTCCGGGTGGCTTACATAAAAACAATTTTAAAAAAATATTAAAAGATATTAAAAGAATTTAAAATACAAGACAAAGCGAATTAAAAAAGGCACAACATGCACGCAATCTTAGTGGGGCTGAAGCTCAATCAAAGATCAGCAGCCCCAGGACTGCCGGAACAGCCAGCTCTTAATAGACTTTCAGAAGGCCGAGAGAGTGGGGAGGGTCCGGATCTCAGG